GATGTCCAATACGGTCATCGATGTCCATTCTCTATACTTCAATCCAGGTTAAAAATCAATGCAGCACCAGGGGGCCAATTGGCGTTTCTAACGCCACAGTTTTGAACTGAACAAGCCGCAAAACTTCAAGCGGCTTTGAGCTTCACCCATAAGGCTGCAGTCGCAACTTTGGCCCCGTTACAACGCCGGGATTAAGACGCTGCAGCATCAGCAGTACACCTTCCGACACTACCGTTTCATCGGAGCCAGAATCGAGCAACACTTGCGGCAGTGTTACTGTAGCACAACCTCGATTGACTCCCGGCACTCCATACTGCTAGTTGTTGTGTCTCTCGATACTCCGATCATCCGACGACGTGCTTGATGGTGCTCGTCCATCAACTGCTTGATCTGGGCCTCTCGGAGACCCAGATGATTGCGCACGCGATGCGAATTTGATTGATACTTCAAACACTTGACCTTCGTTCGCTCCTGCGACGCTACCTTCTCCGCTCGGTCTGCCGAAGGCGCTGCTTGTGCGCCATTTGGTTTCTTTTCACCGCGCTCTTGATTACGGCGCGAGCGCGGCTTCATGTAATCTTTTGGTAGAACTTCCACAACCGATTTCTGCTGCTTCTCTTCGTCGATGCCACCATCGAGTTGGTAACTAACTGCAAATTGTCTCAACCACTTCACATAGCGAAATACGTCTGCCTTGATAACCATATTCCACTGCAACTGGAGTTGTTTTGTCACAGCCACCTGGAGTGGTGCTGGTTTGATCGCGTTGGTGATAATACTAACCATCAACTTGACTTCTTGCTGCAGAATCCACTCCTGGTTGTCTACTTCGAGCACTTTCACCAGGTATTCGTGCATTCGGCTCACCCAGCTGTCGGCGTTCAGAATCTTGACGTCGAGCTGCACAGCACTTTGTTGATGCTTCTTCGGCGCATCCAACTCGACGGATTCTTCGTCGTGGGCCTCCTCGTATCAGATCACCCACTCTTGTTCCGTCGCATCACCATATGGCTTTCCCAAGTCAACATGGCAATACGGCGCTTCGAAAATGATCCATGCAAGTGCCAATAAGAAACGGCCGTTGTCCGGACGTTAGCAGGGCCATAACCTGCGACGTGTAGCGCTGATGCTCGCGCAACAATCGGTCTTGGTAGGACCCTTGACCGTTGGCGCCAGCGGTAACGCAGGCGCGTTGTACAATTTCACGGGCTCTTCAACTCCCATGTCAACATTGTCTGCTGCACTACGCGCAGCAAGTAGTTTGACGGGTAGCGGCTTCTCGGCCGCGGATGGAGCTGCAGATGGCGTCCAGACTGACGCATATCCCACTCTTCCTTGGCTGTCCAATTGACGCCCGGTCAATCGGCAGAGGTTGATTACTTTGAGGAGAACTGAAAGACCCGCGGAGAGGTCCGCGACCTCCGTACGCACTGTGTCGTATCGTCGTCACGCTCCGGCGACCACAACTTACGGCTTGAGGTCTCCACTTCGGTGTCACTCATTGCTCACTCGGTACAATGCTTTAATGAATTCTTAGTTTTGCACCCCGCGTTCCAAAAAGCAAATACGACACCACTTCGTGATATAATTCCTATTGCAAACCACCAATGCGCAACTGTTGTCACGATTGTCGTCGAAAATTTCGTCATCGTCATCGTCACGGATATCGTCATCCGCATCGTCATCTGCATCCTGCCAAATTTTGTCACTCGCAATGGTCACCTGCTTGGACACGGTTTTCGTCATCACATGATCCCGTAAAAATGGTACTTGAGCGCTGATGTGTTTGATTCTCTCATGTTGGCCTGGGTTCTTCGCGATCACTATTGCGCTTTGGTTGTCGCAGTGTACAGTCAACTTGATAAAAACTCGGCAAAGTGGTACTCCAGGTTATAGGGAAATTTGTATGAGCTGCGTTGTAGTAGACTTTGAAATT